CTTCTTTGTCCATGATTTGGACCAAAATTCCTTTGTCCATGATTTTGAGCAAAATTCCTTTGTCCATTATTTTGAGCATAACTTTGTGAATTTCTTTTTAAACCACTTTGTCGAAAATTATTTTGGACATAATTTCGACTCCTTTGAAAATCATTTTGTTTTGGAAACTGTTTATTTTGAAATTTCTTTGCATTTTGTGAAAACATCTTGGTTGTTTCAGAAGATTTTTGTTTAAAAACCTTTTGTTTGTGAACAGCTTTTTCATTATTCCAATAGGCTTTATTTTTTGCTTTTGATTTTGAAATTCCTTCATTAGAAGCCAATTTTTCTACTTCTCTTTTGAAAGTTTGTGTTTTCCCCTTTTGATGTTTTGGATCATTAGGTCAAGAATCAACACATTTTTCTTTGTTTTTATTATCAACAACTAACGTTTCTGTTTTCGGAACCCAAACTCATTTTGTTTTGGTTCGTGTTTGAACATTTTTCGAGTTTTTGTTCAAACCATTTTCAACGGTGTTTTTATTTGAATAAAATCATTCTTTCGTCACAATCTCATTATCTTCATTTACCAACTTGTTCAATTCATGAGTCACATTATCACCATTTCCTTTTGTAAGAAAGACTTGATTTGGAAACACAACATCATCTGAATCATTAAACCTAGGATAAACCACTACATTTGATTCAAGATAATGTTTTCCATTAACTTTTAACACTTTCGAGCACTCCTTTGAATTTCCGAAGACTTGATCTACCACAACTCTTGGAATTGGTTTCTTATTCGAAACCTCATCATCATCACTCACATAATCCTCAAACACAGCATGATCATGTGAATCACAGACTTTAGATGTCGAAGGTTGATCGTTGTTTAATTTTGACATTGAATCATTACATTATTTTCCTTTAGCCATAGAATTGACATTAATGACAGACAATCGTGAGCAATCGACACATTCCTCTTCCTCAATTTTACTGATATTGTCAGAATTATCTTCGATATTAGGAAAATTTTGTTAAGAATCAAGTGTTGAATTCTCAGTCATGTTCAAAATCTTGACTTGTTCATTTTTGTTATAGTCTCATTCAGAATATTTTGTTATAGTCTCATTCAGAATATTCACAAGATCATCAACATTCAAACATTAATTAATATCTACAATACCATATGCATAAGAATCATTTGGAATTTTATCATATTTTGCTATCTTGCTTTCACAGTCATATGTGGTTTTGTCTATTTGTTCTCTTTTAAAATAAAAAAAGGAAGTATCTTCGATGCTGTTCACTACAAATCTTAGCAGAATGATGAAGGTCAGTTAATTTTGCATACAATCTCTTAGCAATATTACAATATATGTTTCTTTGTTTTACAACCATCATATGGTCCATTCTAATTAAGTCTCTATCTATTAAAAGATTTGTTATTCTAAGATCAAGAGATTCCACTAATCCCTTCTTTTCTTCGAGTCTATTTCTAGCTTCATATAATTGGGATTTTGACTTTTCTGCTTCACTGCTCATGGAGATTAACTTGTCATTAAGATAAGCACACATATTATCAAACTCAGACAAAACATCATTATAAGAAGATGAAGGAATTTTAAATTTGTTAAGAAGATGACATACCTTAGCAGCCATTGGTGATTTAGTTGAGTCGGTTGACACGAGACACCTTCTAGTAATCTTATCTTCTTCATCCTTCTCATCCGAAACATCTTTCTCTTCTTCATCCTCTTCCATTTTCTCATACATTTCCCCATGAGTTGGATGGCACATCTCATCATCATCCGATCCTAAAGACCAAATATGATAAGTTCCATCTTGTTCATCATTTTCTTTAGCAAACTAACGAAAGATTCTTTGTATGTGAACGAATTTCTTCAAGCCTCTCCATGTAATAGGCTTCTTCTTTGACTCTCTCCATTTTCTCTTCTTTCTTCCTCAGCATGCAATCCTTTGCCAAATGATTTGACCCATTGTAGTAGTTACAATCATAACCTGAGTCTCATTTCAATTTCAACTCCTTCTTTTTCTCATACGACCCCTTAACATCCTTATTTTCTTTTTTCGAATCATCATTCACACCTTTTCCAGATGACATGTTTCTTGTAACCTCATTGATTTTCTTGAATTTTGGATTAAAAGGCTTCTTAATGAATTTCTTCACTTTGTTATTCGAGTAGTTGGCAACAACTTCATCATCAGAGTTAAACAAGAAACCTTTTTCACCATTTTCGGCTTCTTCATCAGATTTGACTTCCGATTCCTTTGCTGCAACTTTCGACATCAATGCCAAGGGTCCTCCCATACTTAATTTACTTACTTCAGGAATATTAATAATCTCACATTCATAAGCTTTCAAGACATTTTACAGATTTGCAAGAGAGTAACCATCAAAGCTTTCTTGTGTTTTCATCATCAAACTAATATTTCTCCATTCCGTTCTTAAACCCATAAGAAATGTGAGATTGAACTCTAGTGTCGAACGTGTCAGTCCATAGGAAGAACACTTGAAGATCAATTCATTCAATCGATCATTGTATGATTAGATTGATTATGTTTTCTTCTGCTTGAATTCTCCCAACTCTAACAAGCATTGTTTGGCTGAACTCTTCTTTGTCTTCTCATTTCCTTGATATTTCTCCTTCAGTGTATCCCAAAAAATTCTTTGCAGTATCACATCCTCGAATGTAAATGTAGACTACTGGTGGAAGACCATCACATAATTCACGCACACATTTCTTATCGTTTTCTTGCATTTTGTTGCTTCTTATGATCATGTCCTCAGAAGTTGCAGACGTACCAATAGTATTCAACATATCTTGACTAAATGGTCCTCTTCTTATGGATCTCATCAGATTTTCAACTATCCCATTCAGATAGTCCTCCATCCTGTTAGCCCATTGCTCATAATACTCTGGAATCAACATTGGATTCTTTGTTGCTGATCCGAGCAAGTTAGAGAAATTAGACATCGTGTTCAAACTGAAATTCACCATTGTTGTACAGATTTTGAAGAAAGAGAATTTTTGATTCAAATGAAAATATAAGGAAGAAATCAATCAGAGATTGATCAGAAATCAATAGATCAAACACACAACGTGCTAATCTATTCAATACAATCAATTGCCACCAGTTTCCTAATTCAATTTGCCGAAGATTTTTAATCAGAAAGAGCGATTAAAAAAATGAAAATTTACGAGAAACTTCAATCGCTTGAGAGAATCTTGCTCTGATACCAATTATAGTGAGTTAGAGATTGATTAAGAACACAAATGAATCAATAAAACCTATAAATAGACACATGATCTATATAAGATCTACTTGGCTCATTAACGTTTGAAGAGTACAAAAGTGTTTGAGTACAAATGGAAAATATACATTGTTCAATATACTTACCATATTTATAGGGTACAACAGACTCACAAAAAGTTACAAGGACTAAACGTTAAACTGTCAAAACTAAGATGCCTTGTAAATTGACAGAGTGTCGAAACCAAACTACTTTTGACACATTACAAACACAAACTACTTTTGACTCGTCACTATAGACACTGGACCGCAACAGGGATTTATACTGCTGACGAGACTGCTAGTCCTTAATTTGTGCCTTATCTCGATAGTTGCATTATTTCGCAACCTCAGGGGTACAATTTGATGGATGTTTATGCTTATGCCAGTGGTGCATATTGATGGGTTTTGAGCATACCAAACAATCCTATGCGTGCATGCAACCCTAAAATAGATCTACGTTTTCTCTAATTGAACATACCATGTGGACAATAATGTATAAACCCTAGGATACTAGCATATAATCGAAATTACATTATAAAGGGTTACAAAACATACCTTGATTGTTATATAGCAATAACAATCTAATTCCTTAATGTTGTTGAAGCTTTGAGAACAAGTGTCACAATTTTCACACCTCTAATGGCTCACACCCAACACTAGCAATTGAAGGAGATTAAGGAGAAGGAGAGAGGAGGCAAAATTTCGGCTAGGGTTCTCTAAGATTAAGTGGCTGAAATTCTTAGGGTAAATCCTCTTTATATACTACAGTCAGTAACCCTAGATAAGCCCAAGTCCAAGATAACCTTAAACCGGGTAATTATCCATTTTCCTGACTATCCATTAAGAACCACTCTAGAAACCCTAGGCCATGTAAAAACCGTCCATGCCTATGGAGGGTTCTAGAATGCTTTTTGCTTAACTATTGAACAATTGCAATTTAGTCCCTGCATTTTTAATTAATTCATTTAATCCTAAAATTAATTCTAATTAATTTCGCTACTAGAAAAACAGCCTTATACGACGCGCAATGTGTGTCGTAAAACGCTCAGACGAAGCGCAAATGCGTGTCAAGGAAGGCCCTGTCATAACGAAAGACGACATGCTTTTGCTCGTAGTCTATTTACGACGCGCATTTGCAACACGCATTTACGACACACATTTACGACGCTCATTTACGACACACAATGCGTATCAAGGAAGGCCCTGTTATAAAGGAAGACGACACACATTTGCATGTCGCAACCTTACGACACACATTTAGGACACGCATTGCGTATCATTAAAGTCCCTGTCATAAATGAAGATGACACGCATTTGCGTGTCATAAAATTCAGCAACCATTTACGACGCGTCTTTACAATACTCAATTACGCTTAATACAAAAATATGGAAACAAATATATACCAAAACAATCAATTTCATCCAATAACATCATGTTAAAAAATTGTAATACATTAATATTAAGGGGATCTGATTATACATTGTTATTAAAAGGTTTTCCCTAACTAATACTACATTGCTATTAAGGGGCACCTTCTTGTTCAGATATCATGTCAAAAAAAATCCTCCATATCCTTGGTTTGCCTCCTGGTGTACTGGGCTGCTATCCACCAGCCAAGTCCCCTTCTTCCTTGTTGGTGTTTGGTGACTCTGGTGCTTTGACTTGACACATTTTCTCAAATTCATCTTCTGTCCATTGCTCCTCATAAGATCACACCTAAGTAAAGTAAACAAACCTCTCTTGCTCGCTTTCCTCTTCCATAATTATGTGTGTCCAAGTTCCCAAGCTCACTCTTCCTTTTACCTCCATAGCCAGGTATAACAACTGGTGTTGGGACTTCAAATGCCTTCATAACTTCACAGAATGATTTTATTTCATCTTCTATTACAAGTCTAGAAGGAAAGGGAGGTGTGAGTTCAGCACTTGGCCCCCCTTGTTCTGATACCACCTGTTTCCCCAAAGCCTGCACAATTTTACTTATTATTATTAATCAAACTCAACAGACAAATGCAGGATGCCTTTTTTATAGGTTAAAGTAAAATAGATTGAAGAGCATTCAATGTAAAAAGGGTATACCAGCTCTTCTTCCTACCTTTTTTTATCGAGTTCCTCAAATACATCAATTTCAGACTCACTGAAGTTTTTTTGTTTGACAAAGACCTGATTTTGGTACCAATAATTTTTCAAAAGCACAAGGAATTCATACCAATTCATGATCTGGAAGGTTTTTTGTTTGACAAGTGTCCTTATTGATTTAAAGTGAGTGAGAGAGATAGAGAGAGAAAGAGAGATTTTGCTACCTGCTGCTTGTATATTATCGCCAGATTGTTAAAAGGAGCAGACAATCCTGTTAAAACAGTTAAAGTTGCATTGTAACACTGTGCAGCAGCAGTCATCATATTCCTGAATATCAAAAACCTCATTTTAGAGCCATTTTAGACCTTTTACTACTTTATGTAAATATGTAATACATTTGTCAAAAAGTATATCACAATTCATAAATAAACTTGTATATATAATTTTATAACCATACCATTCCATGTATTTATTTCCAAGATTAGTGAGAGCCTAAGGATGACCAGGTTGCAAAGAAACACATTGCTAGAATGCAAAACAAGACTTTGGTCACAACTAAGCCAATAAAAGGTTTCAGAGAAGAAAATAAAATATGATAACCTACACGGTAGCAATGAATGGCTTCTTCAACTTTGCCAGCATCCTGATAACATACAATAGCTTCTGTAGCCATTCCCAAAGCCTATAAATTGCAAAGTTAATCCAATTTTAGCAAAAAATAAAAAAATCTCCTTATGCTAATGACTAAATTTTTGTTTAAATAATTAAGGAAATTACAAAGTATACTTACCGAAGCAGATTCTATCGTTACAATTCCATGAAGATTTAGGTGGAATCTAAAACCTTTGACTTTTCCCCACTTGAGAAAGGAACAATATAGAAAATATATTTAATCATTAATCAGTTGGTTGAAAAGGACCGAGGCCTGGTGCACCCCAAAGGTTAATGCATTCAATGGCTTCAATGGCTTTTGCTCAAAGCATGCGATTAGCTTTATCAGTTGCATTTACTAATATGTCTTTTAAGTAGCTTTATCATGGCACTTTTAGAAGTGTTTTGTAATGAATTTACTTTCCACACACACACAAAAAAGACACTCAATATTACTATTCTATTAACTTCTGGTAAGGACTGGTGAGAAACAAGGATGAATAAACAAATAAGATAACAATCAAAACAAGAAAATAAGATAGGGAGTAACAATTTAAGTTGCTACTGGTCTCCAAGCAAGTAAAACACAAATCATATGAACTAAAAATGAAATGAAAAAAAAATTCAAAGAGTCCACATTTCCAAATAAAACAGAGTATCAGATTGTTTAGGAACTTGTTAAAGAATCCTCATTCTGTTTATTGATACCATCTTCTTTTGAATCATTCATTCATCCTTGGATGTGGATGTTGTTAAGTCACTCCTACGTTTACATTTTTTTCATTTTTGCTTTAACCCGAGATTTCAGTACAAGAGTCTGAACTGTATTTGCAAAATTCCCAACAGCCATAATTATCAGCAGAATCCCACACGTAACAAGCTGTAAACGAAAAAAAAGTTCTCAGGTTTCTACAAAAAGGTTATTCTTCCATTCAGAAATGACACCTACGAGTTACGAATGCAGTTTTTAGCAATAGCACACCTACATAAGCTTCAAATGCCTATAATGACAAATAATAATGATTAAATTTCCACAATATTAAAATTGAACTAATTAGGAAATAAATAATAAATCACCTTCAAGACAAAGAGTATGGGCAATAATATCCATAATTGACCCTTTAGTCTAGCCGTTTCCCCCCACACAACATCCATTCTTCTAGCCTACAATCACAACAAATACTTAGATTGATTTATATTTTCCAAAATCCACTTTTTATAAAAACATATTCTCAAAATTTGATTTTGGAAACTTGAAACATTGAAAATTATGAAGGATTTCAATAACAACACCTTCCCAAGTGCAATGCGTGTATAGAGTCTTTGTCTTTGGTATCTATTTTGTAGAAGCATTGCTACTCCTTGGATGATTTCCCATCTCAGAAACAATTGTATACCCTTCTGCAAAACACGTTGAATACACAAACGACGATTTTGTCTTCCTACCAAAAATGTATAAACATTATTATAACCTGCTTCTGGGCACAATCAGGTTGCCTTTCTATCTCCCAAGTGAGGCTGATGAGTGCCATGGCCATAACAAAATGGTGATGGTATATCCACCTACACATCATATCATTTATATAATCATAATGCATTCAAAAACTTCATTAGATTATATAAATTCAAACCACATAATAGAACATTACCATGGACGTATATCACTTCCATTAACTCTCAAAATATTTTCTCTTAAAGCTAATCCTATGTATAGAAGGAGCAACCATGCCTGAAAAGGGCATAATCATTATGTTTTAGTAACATTTTTATTTACCTGTATGCTTTACGGCTGTGTTTGTTAGTTTTTACATGACATTGACAGGAAAAAAGCTTTTTAGGGCTGTTTTCAATGATGAGGGCATTCACGTCTTTTCCACAGACAAATGAAAATATAGAATTATGGATGAAGAGATAAAAGTGTACCTGGTAAATCTGGACAGGTAAAGCATGGAAACATCCATCCCAAAGACATGACCTTAACACCAGTAGCAATGAAGACAAAAAGAGAAACAAATATGCAGTTCTATACTGCCCATAATTCAATGGAAGATCATATAAGTGTACAGCTTAAACCAAACAATAAAAAGGGTGATGCTTATGTAAACTGCAACTTTTATTCTAAAAATAAAATGAAAAAGTGATGATCCATTTACTTGAAGATATCTTCATCACCTTCTGATGGAGATATCCATGGTCTAACGAGGAATATCGCCCACCAAAATTCATATGTTTGAAAATAATAAAAAATCATGTTATTCCTAGAATTCTATTAAAATGATAAAATCTAAAAGAAAAGAAAAAACTACTAACCTCAATCAGGCGATGTTGCTCCTTGCACCCCTCAAATTATAGCTTTATGCACAGACTCACTAAATCGTAAAAAAAGAGTTTATTAAAAAAAAATCTTCTGCACTACAATAAAATCTTAGAGTTTTATTTTTACCATGAATGAAGCTTTTGAAGAAGGGTGGAAAGGTCATGTGGTTGTTGATTCAATACTTCAGTGGCCAATTTTCGGATCCAAGAAGGGATTCAAAATTATTTGATGAGTTAAGAAACCCTAGATCTCAAAATTAGAGAGGAATTCATCCAAAACTGACATCTAAAATCAAACAAAAGTTTACCTGTTGACTCGGCTGAACAGGTTCGTTCCACGACCTTTCTTGTTGTTGTTCTTGATTATGATCAAGAACTCCTCCAATACTCGCCAAGAGCAACTAGAAAAACTATCAGAGATGTATTGTTTGCGTCCCCTTCTTTTGCGTTTTTGTTAGCATCGAATATGATGCTTCTTCAATTTCTTTTTCTCTTGTAAGAACTACAATTTTTCGGTCTTTTCTAATCATCGTTTAAAGAGGGAGAGAGGTCAAAAGAGGTGGTGAGGGTCAAAAATATGGAGCAAGGAAGAAGGAAAGGGTAAGAAGACATCGTCGTGAATGACCAGTGGCTGTGTCTAGGGTTAGAGAGAGAGGAGGGAGAGAATGGCTCTGTTCGATTTTACGAGAGATAAGGTGATCCAGAGGAGAGAGTGCAGAAGCGGGGTATTCAAAATTTTAGAATTTTAGAGGATCCCTTGTTAAAAACGCGCGTTTGGATAAAAAGAAATATATAAAGCGACATTTGTAGATGACACACACTTAATATAAGCGCCCTCCGTGTTTTTAATTTTGTTTTGTTTGACACTAATTTTAGGGCATGCACAAATGCGTGTCCTCTATCCTTCAAATTTTGGAAAACTGAAATTAATTTTTAGGGCACGCACAAATGCGCGTCCTCTATCAGTGTCTGTCATTATTTGTGTGTCGTAAAAGGATGTTTTTCTTGTAGTGTTTCTGATTAAATATTAATCAAATACTACTATTTCTAATTAATATATTAATCTCATAATATATTAATAAATTACTTAATACAATTTATTAATCAAATTAATAAATCAACCTCTTTCTCCAAAATCATTCTTCCCAGTTGGTAGTATTGAGGGCAACCCAAAAGGACTGTGCTACAACCAATTCAGGTACATACCAATTATAGTTATGGGATTAGACACCTAATCCAATAGTCTCCCACTTGGATAAGTCTAATAACTATAATTTCCAGTATATCCTTCAAAATTGACAAGCAAATTGTAGCTCTCAAAGCCGCTGTCGAACTCTAACCTAGTCAGTTACGTGTCCTAAGATAAGTGATCATATAATCCTCCGTTCTGTAGAATAATCATGCGGACAATTGATTTGGAACAGAATCAATCTCATTGTCCAATATTTTTTTTCCCAATTTCTGATTTGTAATGACATAGAACTACTAATCGAACACATCAATTGAGTCCTGGTCGGGCCCGACATTATAAGTCAACACCAAATCATCGAGGGGCCCAAGATATTGCTTTTCCCCCTAAAGGAAAAAAGGAACATATACACTTTGACTTATATGATTGTACTATTTACTCATCAAATCACGCACAACAATACGTTTTATATCAATTTACTGATGCATTTATGCATTATCAATGCACAACCAATTTGTAAACAACAGCTCATATATCTCTTTCTAATGATTATAAGATATTATCGTCTCAGAATTACACGTGATAAGATTCCATGAAGTAATTCTCTGAGAGTGGGTTAATCCAATACTTAAATCTCTAATTCTCTGAGAAGGCTGCAACAAACCATTGCTATGTCTAAACCCCTTAGACAATCTACAATCCATTTCATGACAGTCTTGATTCACTACTTACTTCCAAAAGTATGATCCACTATAGATGTTTTGAATAATCTAATTATTCTAGAAGTAAAACATGCAAAATGAAACACAACAATAAACAATTGACAAAAGATAGTAAACAATACTCATAAATAATTCTCCATTTTTCAATCATCAAATGTCAATTACATTTATTTTGTTACAAATTTCTAAATATCTATCTAACTACTAAAACTAATATCATCCTTCAGACCAATGTTCCTTGTATGATGAATGTGCTTAATCCTCCTCAGACCCTTTGTGAGGGGGTCTGCTGGATTCTCCTAGGACGATTCCCTCTTCACGATGAGGTGACCTTCTTCCACTCTATGTATAATGAAATGATACTTTCTATCGATGTGCCTTGATCTGCCATTATCTCTTGGTTCCGTGGTTAAGGCAACCGCTCCTTCATTATCACAAAAAATATCCATTGGTTCCTTTATGGTTGGCACAACTCCAAGGTCTCCGATGAAGTTCTTCAACCATATGGCCTCCTTCGATGCTTCGCTTGCTTCAATGTACTCCGATTCACAAGTAGAATCAGTCACTATTTCCTGTTTGGAACTTTTCCAAGTCACTACTCCTCCATTAAGGGTAAACACCCAACAAGATTGAGAACGGAAATTGTCTCTGTCTGTCTGAAAACTGGCGTCACTATACCCAGTTATTCTCAAGTCATCACTGCCACCAAGGACAAGGACCCAGTCCTTAGTTCTTCGCAGATACTTAAGAATATTCTTGACCGCTGTCCAATGAGCTCTACCCAGATTTCCCTGATAATGACTAACCATGCTCAAAGCAAAATCCACATTAGGGCGAGTACGAGTCATAGCATACATGATCGAACCAACGACGGAAGCATATGGAACTCGACTCATTTCTACTATCTCTGCATCAGTACTCGGACTCTGAGTCTTACTCAGTTACGTATTGCTATGTATTGGCAATTCTCCCTTCTTGGAAATTTCCATACTAAAACGTTTTAGTACCTTATCCAAGTATGTACTTTGACTAAGTCCAATTAGCCTTTTACTCCTGTCTCTCAAAATACTTATTCCCAAAATATAAGCAGTCTCTCCCAGATCCTTCATAGCGAAACACTTTCCAAGCCAAGACTTAACCTATTGTAAGGTTGGAACGTCGTTTCCTATAAGAAGTATTTCATCAACATACAATACCAGGAAGGTTACTATACTCCCACTCGCTTTGACATATACACAAGATTCATCTTCACTTCTAGAGAAACCAAGCTCTTTCACTTTCTCGCCAAAGCAAAAATTCCATCTGCGAGAAGCTTGTTTCAATCCATAGGTTGATTTCTCAAGCTTACAAACTTTATTGGGGTACTTTGCATCCACAAAACCCTCTGGCTGACTCATGTAAACATCTTCAGCCAACTTCCCATTAAGGAAAGCGGTTTTGACATCCATCTGCCAGATTTCATAGTCACGAAACACAGTTATGGCAAGCATTACCCTAATAGACTTTATCTTAGCTACTGATGAGAAGGTCTCATCATAGTCAACCCCTGGGGTTTGAGTAAAGCCCTTCTCAACCAGTCAAGATTTGAAAGTGTGCACCTTTCCATCCATGTCGGTCTTCTTCTTGAAGATCTACTTGCACCCAACTGTCTTTCGACCTAGTACATTGTCAACCAAATTCTAAACTTGGTTGTCCTACATGGACTTGATCTCGTTGTCAATTGCCTCTTTCCACTTGGCAGACTCAACGCCCGCCATTGTTTCCTTGTAGTTAGCAGGTTCATCCAAATTTACCAGTGTATTATCACTGATAAACGTATTACCTTCTGTTGTTATATGGAAGCCATACAACACAGGTGGAACGCTAACCCTACCAGAGCACCTAATAAGTAATGACTCTTCATCAGGTTCAACTGGAATTTCTTCCTCAGGTTGAGTGCTAGCATTTTCGGAAGTTCCTTCATCATTTTCTTCTTGAATTTCTTCATGATCAAATGTACTCCCACTGTCCTCTTTGCATATGAGCTCTCTCTCTCTCGAAAGACTCCCCTTTGTGCTACGAAGACCACGTTCTCACTAGGTTTGTAGAACAAATATCCAAAGGACTTCTGTGGATAGCCAATGAAAATACATCTCTCACTTCTAGGTTCAATCTTTTCATGAGTCTCTCGTCTAACAAAAGCTTCACAACCCCAAACCTTGATGTGTCCTAACGAGGGAACTTTCCCCGTCCACATTTCGTGAGGTGTTTTGGCAACCTTCTTTGTTGGGACAAGATTAAGAATGTGGGTGACAATCTTTAAGGCATACCCCTAGAAAGAGATTGGAAGTGAAGCTCGACTCATCATGGAACGAACCATGTCCAACAAGGTTCAATTCCGCCTCTCAGCCACACCATTAAGTTGTGGTGTTCTAGGAGGAGTCAATTGTGAAACTATTCCACATTCTTTGAGGTAGTCGTGGAACTCAATACTAATATACTCACTACCTCTATTGGATCTAAGCATCTTTATCTTCCTGCCAAATTGATTCTCAACTTCTTGTTTGAATTCTTTGAACTTTTCAAAGGTTTCTGACTTATTCTTGATTAAGTAGATATAACGATATCTGCTATAATCATCAGTAAAAGTCACATAGAATCGATTTGCATCCCTTGTGGTGGATCTAAAAGGCCCACACACATATGTGTGTATGAGATTCAACAATCCTTCACCTCTTTCATAAGAATCAGTGAAAGGTGATTTTGTCATCTTACCTAGCAAACAAGACTCGCATGTATCATATGACCTTAAGTCAAATGATTCCAACACTCCATCCTTTTGGAGTTGGGTAATGCATTTCTTGTTGACATATCCAAGACGACAATGCCACAAGCATTCTTTGTCTAAACCATTAGACGAATCAACTTGTAAAACACTATTTCCTAAATTGTCTACATTCATCACAGTTTCATACACACCATCACAATGTAAAGCTATAAAATAAAATACACCACTTTTA